CGGCGACCAGCACGTCATTGAGAGCCTTGTACCGCAGCCGCGGCGACTGCTTCTGCCCGTAGAGGCTCTTCAGCAGCTTGCATACCCGGCCGGTCCCGTCGTTGAAGTAGTCCGGCTGGTACATGTACAGCACCTGGTCGAGCTGCGTTCTTCATGTCGAGCTGCATCAGGTTGAGGTCAAGGATGGCGACAATGCTGAGGAAGATCCTCAGCGTGACGTAGCTGCTCACCGTCGCATACGTCTCGTCGTAGTCGGCGCCATACACCTGCGTGAAGCCCTTCACGACCAGTCTCGCCTTCTCTCGCTCGACGTTGTCGTCGATGTGGTACTTCGTCGTCAGCACCCACCGGTTCGTCATGATGTTCACCCCGGGTGGGCGTTCGACCAACTCCCAGGTCCCCATGTTGATGAGGCTGCGGATCTCCTCCTCTATGGCGGCCTTTACCGCCGGGCCCTTCCAGCTCGCCAACGCCTCCTTCACCGTCACCGTTGAGATGTCCGACCGGTGCTCGGGGTCGGCGTGCATGTCGGGGTCGAGCTCCGGCAAGTCTTCGTCCTCCTCAGTGTCGTCGTACAGCATGTCATCGTCGACCTCATCGTACACCGTGGTGAAGGCAGCCGGGACGAAGAAGTCAGTCGGCCTCCAAAGTCGGCCTGTCCGCCGTGGTTCGACCTCCACCAAATTGTTGTCGGTGGACTTCTCGGCCTCCGCCTGCTCGGCTTCCTCTTCACCGGCGTCACTGCCCTCAGCATTCTGCTGCGCCACAGCTGGCGTCCCTGCCGACTTCTCCCCTTTGGTCGGCTCCCCTGCCGACTGCCCGGTCGCCGACTACTCCTTAGTCGGCTTAACTGCTGCCTGCTCCCCTGTCGGTTGCTGCCTTGCCGCTGCCCCCGTCGCCGACTTCACTACCGTCGGTTGTACCTTCGCCTGCTCCTCCCCTGCCGGCGTCGATTTCACTCTCACGTCGACCTGCTGGACGTCACGTCGGCCACCGGCGATGCTCTTGGCCGGCACCACAGGCGACGCCCCACTTCTCCCCTCATCGCCGGAGGCCGACACCGGAGTCAGCCCATGCAGGTCGGCCACGAGGGGAGGGGCAGGGGGGGCAAGGCTAGGCGAGGTAGAGCGGTCGACCTCAGCGTCCCCAGCAGCAAGCTAACCAACCTCGGCGAGCAGGGGAAGTGGCGTCGTCGAGGTGTCCGTTGGCTGGCCGACTTGCGTCCGCCCGGACGCCGGCCCGTGCGCCGACTTCCACACCTCCAGCGACATTGTCTCGTAAAACACCACGTCCGACGTGGTGACAACCCGGTTGTTGGCGATGTCTGGGAGCTCCCAGCCTTTGCTCTCCTCCAACACGCCGAGATGAAGGCCCCACCTGGCCTTCGGCTTCAACTTTCCACCGCGCTGCTGCTCGGGAACCAAAAACTGTGCCATGCAGCACCACACCCGCGCCAGCGACAGGTCGGGCTTCTTCCCGGTGAGCACCTGGTACTGCGTCGTCCCCGGTGGCAGCGTCGACCTCTCAAGGTAGTTGCGGACCCAGATGGCCTGCCGCAGAGCGAGGTGCCACCAGTGGTGCTACACGCTTATGTGCAGCAGCATCGTCCGCACCGACTCCACCAGCGTCCTCATCTCCCGCTCCGCCATGCCGTTCTGCTGGGGGGTGTACGGGCAGGTCAGGTCGTGGACGAACCCCTTGCCGTCCACGAAGGCGGTGAATTCCTTCCCGAGGAACTCCCCTCCCCGGTCACGACGCAGCATCTGTCAAAGTAATAACTCGAAGAATGAATGACTAGAATGAGCAAGTACAAGGGTAGATATAGCAAACCTAACCCTAGCACTAACCAAGGTGCACACCACCTAGACTAAACAATACAAACTATAACAGATATAATTTGACACACCCCCATAGTCTAGGTGATAACAGACCTGTGGAAAGCTACACATATCTCAGGGTGGATCACAAAGTCGCCACACAGTCTGAGAACAACCAAGGGTCACAGGACCAGTCAGCAAGAAATAAAAAGCAACGGTCACAAGACCAGTTCACAAGAACAAAGCAACGCTCGGGGTGGATCTCAAGATCACCACACAGTCCGAGAACAAGCAAGGGGCCACAAGGCCAGTCCACATGCAATGATATAGCAGATATAAGAGATGCAAGTGTACAAGGCATGCAAGACAAGCATCTCTACAGAAGCAAGGGGCCACAAGGCCTGTCCACAAGCACATATAGAAGATATATAGTGAGATGCAAGAGTACAAGACAAAGCATCTCTATGCAAGCAAGTGAGGGCCTGTAGACACAAGTCCAAGCTGGGTGCACAAACGCTGGTGATCACAAGGCGGCAACGCCTTGGTGAAGATATCTGCCGTGTTGGCCTCAGAGACCACACGTACCACGTGGGCCTGGCCACGCTGCTGAAACTCGCGCAGAAGGAAGTAACGAAGCTGGATGTGCTTCGCCTTCCCAACCAGTCGGGGCTCCTCGCACAACAGGATAGCATACCTGTTGTTGGCGAACAAGACTGGGGGAGAGCGAGGCCGCTCACCAAGGTCGGTGAGGAGGAAAGACATCCAGCGAAGCTCCTGGGCGGCCATGGCCGCAGCGTACACCTCTGCCTCACAGCTGGAACTAGAGACGGACGACGCCCGAGTCGACCTCCACAAAACAGCTCCGGTCCCAAGGCTGAAGCAGTAACCCTGTGTAGACCGCAGCGACTCTGCGCCGTCGGCCCAAGACGAGTCCGAGTAACCTGTAAGGGTAACTGGCTACTTCCCTCCAAGGACAAGTCCCATGCCTGATATATTCGCCACATACTTCGCCACCCTCTTAGCCGCGTACCAGTGGGAAGGTCGGTGTCTCCCAGGCGCAACAAAGCGCGCCAGGACGCTAAGAGGGTAAGCTAGGTCTGGGCGAGTACAGGTCATCATGTACATGAGACAACCCACCAGCTCAGGATATGGACCGCTGGACTCAAATGGCTCGTCCGAAGGTGGAGCCATGAGCCCATGATCCACTGCAAGAGGGGTGCGCTGTACCTTGGAGAACGGGAAGCGAAACCGCGTGAGGATCTGCTTGACCATATGCGACTGCGTCAGCGTAATGGTGCGAGCTGCCCTGTCCCTGGTGATCTGCAGGCCAAGGTAGCGCTGCAGCTCACCAAAGTCAGTGCAAGTGTGTCTCCTCTGCAGTTCCTCCTTCACGGAGGCCAGTGCGCGTCGGTCGGGAGTGGCGAAGACCAGGTCGTCAACGTAGACCAGAACAAAGACCGGGGTCGAGCCACGGCGGACGAACAGCGATGGGTCGGCAGACGACGGAAAGAAGTCAAGCGCTGCAAGAGTCGTACGTAGCGTGTCGTGCCACTCGCGGGGAGCCTGGCGCAGGCCGTAGACCGGTCGACGCAGCTGCCACTGGGTCCCAGGAGGGAAAGTGCCAGTGAAGCCAGGCGGACGACGCAGCCAGATCTGCTCGTGCAGGCTCCCCTGAAGGAACGCGGTGGAGAAGTCCAAGGAGTGCAACTCGTAGTCGCGCTGTGCCGCAATATGCGGCAACACCCGAAGAGTGGTCATCTTCGGGGTGGGAGCGAAGGTCTGAAAGAAGTCTACCCCCTCTCGCTGACTGAAGCCTCTCGCCACGTAGCGCGCCTTGAACACCGGTGGTGCTCCCGGCGGCTGCTTCACCTTGTAGAGCCACATGCCACTGTCAACGTTTGCCCCATGTGGTGGGACGGCGTCGACGTAGGTGCCTGTGGACCTATAAGATGCCATCTCTGCCTCCTCAGCTGCTATCCAGTACGAAGCCCAGGGTCCCGAGACCGCCTCAGCATGAGTGCGAGGGATCGGGATGTCAAGGGCGTCTGGATCCCCCTCAGGGGCAAGCAGCATGGCGCAGAGATGAGGAACAGCGGCCGCAAGGAAACCAAGCTCGAACTGCCTGTCCTCCAGGACCTCCAACGGAAAGACAGGAGCACCCCCAGAGGACGGAGAATGAGCAGGGCCACTCACCAAGTGAGCGGCGTAGTCAAGGCGGTGGGAAGAGGCAAAGTCAGCGACAGTGGTAACAAGTGCTGAGACAGACGACAGAGGTGCAGTCGGGTGAGTGACCAACGCGGACAAAACACGGGAGACGACAGGACGGGAGGCACGGAGGTAGTCGGACAACGGGTCGTGAAGCACAGTGAAGGATGACTCAGGAGGCTGTGGAAGGACAGGTGGAGACGGAACATGAGAGCGAAGAACAAGGTGAAACAGGCGGTCGGCACGGTAACGGGACCGACGAGGCTCTGAGGACACAGCACGACTGAGGGGAGAACGACGAGTCCACTGGGACGAGGAAAGGGACTCGACAGGGGGAACAGGAGGGGACGGTAGGGGACCACGAACAAAGCGTGCAGGTGCTGAGTCGGGCAGGTCTCTGAGTCGCTGCTGCTCCGCCTCCTCTAGCGACTGCTGCTGCGACACCTGCCCCCGCTGCTGCTCCTGTGGCTCCTCCTCTGCTCTCTCCCGCTGTGGCTGCAACAACACCTGCTGCGGCGGCCGGGACTCCTGCTCTACCCTCTCCTGCTGCGGCCGCAACTGCACCTGCTGCTGCGGGCGGGACTCCTGCTCTACTCTCTCCTGCTGTGGCTACAACTGCACCTGCTGGTGCGGGCGGGACTCCTGCTCTACTCTCTCCTGCTGTGGTTGCAACTGCACCCGCTGCGGCAGTCGTGACTCCTGCTCTACCCTCTCCTGCTGCGGCCGCAACTGCACCTGCTGCTGCGGGCGGGACTCTTTCTCTACTCTCTCCTGCTGTGGCTGCAACTGCACCTGCTGCTGTAGTCGTGACTCCTGCTCTACTCTCTCCTGACGCTCCGACTGAGACTGGAGGTGGTGGTGGTGCTGGTGCTGCTGCTGCTGCTGCTGCTGCTGCTGCTGCTGTCGTGACTCCTCCTCTACTCTCTCCTGGTGCGGCAGTGACTCCTCCTCTACTCTCTCCTGACGCTCCGACTGAGACTACTGCTGCTGCTGCTGCTGCTGTCGTGCCCTCTCAAACCGCTCCCGCTCCTCCCTCTCCGACCTGTTTAAACGCTGCACACGGGTGAGGAAGCGTACAGTGCGCGCCGTAGGCGTCGCAGTGCTCGTGTCTCCGGCTCCAGCACCCCCAGAACCAGAACCTCCACCGACAACACCCCCAGGGACTCCACTGCCTCCGGCAGGAACACCCCCAGGCTCCGCAGCAACCGGCCGCGGAGGCGAACGAGGAGGGAACTGCGGAACAGACGGGAAGCCAGGGGGTGAGGCAGGGCGAGGCCGCTGAGTCGAGACAGCCGTGTCCTCCTCAGGAGTGGTCTCCTCTCTCACACCCCCTACACCCCCAAAGCCGGCACCACGGGCTCCAACAGCCCCAGTACCCTCACTCTCCGCAACTGCCCCTCCTGCACCCCCGGACACGAGAGGGACTGGACGCTGCCGGGGGGGCGACTGCGGAGTGACGTGCGACACACCTGACGGGGCAGGACGCGAAGGGGGTGGGGCTACTGGGGCGACTGGGGGGGGCTCAAGAGTGAGGAACAGCGGGGGGGGAAAGGCCTCAGAACCTCGGTGGGGGCGACTCCTGTAGTAACTGACCGACTCGTCGAAAGTGACGTCCTGGGAACTGAAGAACTGACAGGTAACCGGGTCGTAGAATTGCCAACCGCTGGTGACGAGCGGTAAGCCAAGAAAGACGCAGGCACGGGTGCGCGGAGACAACTTGTTCGCGCCAGGGGCGCGAACGTGGGCCAGGGAACCCCAGACGCGGTAATCAGCTGCTACACCCGGAGAACCTGTCCAAAGGGAGACTGGCGTCACCCGTGGCCGTGCGTCACTAGGCCACAGGTTCAGCTGGTGCGCGGCGTAGCGGACTGCCTGAGGCCACAGGAACTGGGGGGCACCGGCATGGCACATGGAGGTCCGGGCAACCTCCATGACCAGGCCAATGCGTCGCTCGGCTACCCCGTTCTGCTGCGGCGAGTCTGGTAGCGTGTAAGACTGGATGATCCCGCGACCCTAACAAAACGTCTCCAGGCGTGTGGAAGAAAACTCACCACCACGGTCCGAGTGCAGGCGGAGCCCACAAAGGGCCTGGGCGTCACCCCTCGCTAGGAGCCACGGCTCGAGGACTGTAGGCACGTCGGCCTTCCGTCGCAAAGGTAAAACCGTGGTGTAGCGGGAGTAGTCGTCCACCACGATCAGGAAGTAGCGCTCCTGACGTGGGCCACGGACCGGGGAGGGGCCCCAGACGTCCAAGTGCAGTGTCTGGAAGGGAGTCGTGGTGGGGGGGAACGAGGAGGAGTGAGGGGCAGCGCGCTGCCGACCCTCGACGCAAGGAGTGCACGGCGGCGCAGTCGAGCGAGGAAGCGGGGCAAGCGACTCTGGAAGACCTGAGACCAGACGGTGACGTACCATCCTACTGAGACGTGGGAACGACGGGTGACCTAGACGGTGGTGCCAAAGGACCGACGGGTGGGTCAGTGACCGACAGTCGCACGACACAGCAGCTACCTGACCAGACCTGACCCAGTGTTGTAGGACCCAGTGTGTAGTGAGTACAGACCAGAGCCCGGTTCCCTATGGAAAGTGGCTAGAGGCACTCCAGTGGCACCGACTGTGCAGGAGGCAACAGGCTCGTCCAAAGGGAAAGTAGTGACAACTTCGAGGTTGTGGAGGTGACTGACACCCACCAAGTTCCTAGAGAACGAGGGGGTGTAGTAGCCTGTGAGAAACCCAGAGGGAGCCGCCGGACACGGGAGAACGGTGGTGCTTTGGGCAACTATAGATCTCACGGAGGGGTCAGCTAAGGCGACAGTGACTGGAGTGTGCAGTGGCGTGAGGTCTGTGCAGTCGCGAAAGAAACAGCTGGACGCTCCAGAGTCTAGAGTGAAAGAAAGCTGTGCAGTCGGTGAGGTCGCTACCAAGCCGGCGACAAAGGCTGGGACTAGACTAGTGGTAGCTGCAGCTCCGACACTAAGAACATCTGAGGCGTCTGGACTGGAAACTGCGCAAGCACCAAGACTGGAAACACAAATGTCAGCTCCCACGTACCGGTGTGTGTACTGGCCGGGTCGGACAGGGCCCCGTGGAGGAGGCTGCCGCTGGCGCTGCTGCTGCTGCTGCTACTGCTGCTGCTGCTGCTGCGGCCACAGGTGCTGCGGCCACGGCTGCTGCCGCGGACACGGCTGCTGCTGTCGCGGCCACTGCTGCTGCTGCAGCCACTGCTGTCGCGGCCACTGCTGCTGCTTCGGCCACCGGTGCTGCTGCCACTGCTGCTGCGGCCACTGCTGCTGCTGTCGCTGTCGCCACATCAACATGGCACGCTAGTATGGGGGGGGGGGGTAGGGTCCAGTCGAGGCGGCAGTACGAGTGGTAGGAGGACCTAAGCTAGTGCTGGCGCGATTGAAGGTAGCCTAAGCTGCTCCTGATGCGCTAAACGCGGGTGCTGGCGCATGCTGGAGCTTCATAGCATTGGCTGGAGTTTTTGTTTTGTATTTTTTTTTTAATTACTTAATAATTCTTAATAAATCATGCAGGGCGCGGGTGGCCAAGATAAGGACGCGGTCGGCCTAGGAAAGGGGGCGCGCGCGACTGGGTGTGCGCGGCTACGCGTGTGCAGTCGCGAGGGCGCGGCTGCGTGAGTGTGCGCCGCGCGTGGCCGCGTGCGCGGCCTGTGTGCGCGTAGTAGCGTGCGCGCAGCTGCGTGCTTGCTGGCTCTACGGGGAGCGCGCGGGGAGGAACTACGGGCGACGGGTGATGGGTGACTGGCGACGGGCAACGGGCGACGGGAGTTAGGGTTAGGGTCGACGGGAAGGGCCCGCGGGGGGGCGCACTACGGGACGAATGAAGGTCCCGCGGGGGAGGCCGCGTTACGGGACGACCTAAGGCCCGCGGGGGCCGCACGACGGGACGACCTAAGGCCCGCGGGGGGGGGGGGGGGGGGGGGGAGGCGCTACGGGGGGACGAAGAGCCCGCGGGCCCCGCGCTACGCGAGGGAATAAGGCCCGCGGGGGGGGCCGTTACGGGACGAACTAAGCCCCGGGGGGGGGGGGGGGGGGCGCTACGGGACGGACGAAGGGCCACGGGGGGCCGCGCTACGGGGCGAACTAAGGCCCGTGGGGGGGCGCACTACAGGACGGACGAAGGGCCACGGGGTGACGGGACCTGCCGAGGGCGCTATGGGCAACGGACGGCGGACGGGCGGCGGACGGGCGGCGAACGGACGGCTAACGGACGGCGGACGGGCGGCTAACGAGCGACGATCGGACGGAGGCCTTAAACGAGCGAGCAACGAACGGGGCGTGCGAAGGTGGGCCCATGGGAACGAACTAAGCCTTATACCATGTCAAAGTAATAACTCGAAGAATGAATGACTAGAATGAGCAAGTACAAGGGTAGATATAGCAAACCTAACCCTAGCACTAACCAAGGTGCACACCACCTAGACTAAACAATACAAACTATAACGGATATAGTTTGACAGCATCAATACCGACTTCGTCATCTGCCGCTCAGCCACCGCCAGCCACTACACGAACTCCTGCAGCACGTCAGATCTTGGCGGCCGGCCTCACCCACACGTAGCGGGTCTTGCGGTCCTTCAGCAGCAAGAAGAACAGGCTGCCATCCTTGGCAGCCACGCGGAACGGCCAGCACAGGTCGATGTGCACGACAGCCAGTACGTCGTCGGCGTAGGAGCTCTGGTCGGGGAAGGTGTGCCGTGCAAGTTTTGTTGAAATATAATTTCTATATAAACTGCTTGTTGTGTAGTTTACTGTAGCTATCCCTTGTTACTGTTGGTGGTGTACCTCATTGCTTGCTTGCATTTCCTATTTGTACCTTCCGAACTATAGTGAATCTCCCTTCTTGGTCGATAATCTTGCTCATGCCATGCTACCCTCGCTACTCTAGCCATGGTCCTTAGAAAACCTAAGTTCCTAAGCTACTAAGTTAGCACGTTGACAAGTTTCCCGCCGACGCACGAGACACACGGCGAGTCAGCGCCGGACGTCGACTTGAGGTCCAGCCCAGTGGCGACCCGAGCTCCGGATAGTGTCCATGCCGACGTGCGCGAGCCGCGCATGCAGCCTGTCAGGGGTCACCTTCGTCGCCGAGACTATCGCCCGCAGAGCCACCACCTCCGTCGAGGTCGACGTCGACTTCGTCGAGCAGGGACAAAAGTCGGTGCAGAGGACAAAAGTCGAGGCCGAGGACGTCCCCTGACGCCGTGACGAGCAACATCCCATCGCCGTCCTCCTTCAGCTTCACGCCATTCTCCTTCAGCTGCCCAGCCGACAGCAGGTTCGCCTGCACGCCCGGGACGTAGAGCACGTCGGGGATCAGCACCTGCTTCTCGGCCTCCCCTTGCAAGGCGACCGTGCCCCGGCCGTGGACGTCCTGCAGCGCACCATTGAAGCCGTGCACGTGCTTGACGTTGCCGCTCGGCTGCAAGTTGACGAAGACCTCCTTCGTCCCCATCAGGTGATGGGAGCAGCCGCTGTCGAGTAGGACCACCGCTGGGTTCGCCTGTACGGCCGACGCCATCGCCTGGAAGTCCTCGCCAGCCTCCGGCGCTAATGAGATGGTCGACTCCACGATGCCAACCAGCGAGCACGACGCCTCCTTGTCGTCTCGCCCTTTGCCACCAGCAGAGGAGTCGGCGTCCTTTGCCGAGGTCGACGACTTGGTCGACTGCTTCTCCTTGCGCGGCTGGTTTCCTCCTCGACGCGGACGATGGCTGCCCGACCTCCCGCGGCCTCCCTTGGCATCGTCGTCGTCGGAGTCACTGCAGTCGGGGCACTCGAAGGAGAGGTGGTCGGGGCTGCGGCAGATCCAGCACTCCCGGCGTCGACTTCCTCCTCCTCGTCCGCCATCCTTGGCCGACTGTTGCTTGCGGCGTCCATGGTCGACCTACCACCACTGCTGCCACCGCCGCCATATTGCCCGCGCTGTCCCGGTCCACCACTTTGCTTTGCCGGGGGGCGTAGTTCACCTGCGACGAGAGCTCTGAGTGCCGCTCAGCTTCCTGCATCGCCTCATCCTGTAGGATGTACGAAGTAAGGGAGTCCGCGTTGAGTGTTGCCCGCGTGGTCGGTGCCACCGACAACCGCTTCCGCATGTTGTAGTTGCTCGTGAGCCCCTTCAGGACGTGCGTGACGTACGACGCCGTCAAGTATTGCACACTCGACGCCGTCGAGCTCGGTTGCAGTAGTCAGTCGCCGTCGCCTGGTCGCCCATCCGCAGATGCGTCATCTTCTCCTCGAGCTATCAGATGTACAGGTCGTCGGTGACCTGGTACGTCGGCTCAATGAAGTGCCACGCCTGGTGGCCGGCGTCCAAGTAGTCCCTGTACGGCTTCAAGGCGATCTGCACGCCCGGCGAGCAGCACCGTGAGATGACCGTGAAGGTCAGCAGCTGCACAACGTGAAACTCCGCACGCAGGTCGGGGTAGTACTCCGACGGCGTCGCCACGGCACCCCTGGCGAAGCCAATCAGCCCGGCCATCTCCAGCTGGGGCTCGATGGCTTCCTTCCCGGTGAGGATGTTCGGTTGACCAACGATTAGGGGGGTGATCGAGATTCTGTCCGGCGTGAACTTGAAGTAGCCGTAGCTCGGTGCTATTCCGCCCGCAGTCACATGGGTCGCCGACATTGGCGACAAACCGTTTCGTCGACCTCCGACGTCGCCCTGCGAGGAGTCTGCAGTCGCCGACGACCGCATCCCTCACGCCTGAACGCCGCCGACTTCATCGGTTTGTATCACACCTCGTTGCCTCGACGTGCCTCCTACACTGCTGCCGACTTGGTCACCATCGGCGTTGACGCCCACGTCGATGCCGCCTTCGTCGGTCACCGGTCGAGGAGAAGCAGGTCGAGAAGGGTGCTCCGTCGCCCACACGGTACGGAGGCCAGGCTCGACGACCACCCAGGGGATTGCTCCGTACTCCTGGGCCTTATGGCGTCTCCTCGCATCCTCCAGCTGTGCTTCCAGTGTATCCATCACCTCTGGGTCACCTATGCTCACGATGGTGACTGCACGGCTGCCGGCCTACGAGCAACCCAAGTAAGTGACAACAATGTCGACTAAACTGAAAGGTAAGCCGTGTGTCGTCCACGCTCACCGCACCATGCGGAGATAACTTCAGCAATGGGAGCTAGACTACGGCTAGGCACGGGGCAAGAGTGATCTCTGCGTTCGTTCGGTCCTTAGTCGTTTCCAAGTGCTTCACACTACTTGCTAGTTCACGGGGAGAATTGGCAAGAGTTTCACTAGGAAAACGTCCATAACAAAAGTTCAGAATGATAGCAACAACATGGGCAAGTCGGTCAACCGCCAGCGCAGCACGGTCGACCGCGTTCCAGCACGGCTTGGTCGACCGCACTCCAGCAGTGCAGAGTCGCGGCTTGCCAATGCTG